TTTTATATATATATAAAATATAAGCATCAGCTCCTCTCCAAGAGCAACTGAGAAATATATCTCATCTGTCTCTTGTGGGGGTTTCAGAAAAGGGAGGGAAAGGAGGATGAAAAAAAAAAGAAAGGCACCGGCATTAAGACACAGTCACCGACCTTAGCCCCTAAGGAAGACATTTGTTCCATGTGGTTTGGCTGGATTGCTATTATCCTTCTCATTGTTTCTACTACCTTCTCTTATTAGTATCTTATAATTGTATTACTTTGTTAGTTTGTAAGTACACTGAGAGCTTCTGCACCGGAGACAAATTCCTTGTGTGTCCAATCACATTTGGCCAATAAAGAATTCTATTTTATTCTACTCTACTCTATTTTATTCTACTCTACTCAACCCTATTCCTCTTCCTTATTCCTAATTCTATTCTATTCTACTCCTATTCCATTCTCATATCCTTTCCTATTCCCTATTCTATTCTATCCTATTCTATTTTCATTCCATTATTCTATTCCATTCTATTCAACCCTATTCCTCTTCCTTATTCCTAATTCTATTCTATTCTACTCCTATTCCATTCTCATATCCTTTCCTATTCCCTATTCTATTCTATCCTATTCTATTTTCATTCCATTATTCTATTCCATTCTATTCAACCCTATTCCTCTTCCTTATTCCTAATTCTATTCTACTCCTATTCCATTCTTATATCCTTTCCTATTCCTTACTGTATTCTATTGTATTCTATTCTATTTTCATTCCATTATTCTATTTTATTCTATTCTATTCAACCCTATTCCTCTTCCTGATTCCTATTCTACTCCTATTCTATTCTCATATCCTTTCCTATTCCTTATTCTATTTTATTCTATTCTATTCCCTATTCTCTTCTCTTCCCTATTCTTCTTCTACTCTACTCAACCCTCTTCCTTATTCTATTCTATTTTCTATTCTACTCTACTCATCCCTATTCCTAATTCTATTCTACTCCCATTCTCATACCCTTTCCTATTCCTTATTCTATTTTATTCTATTCCTTATTCTTTTCTCTTCCATTCCCTATTCTATTCAATTCTACTCTACTCAACCCTCTTCCTTATTCTATTCTATTTTCTATTCTACTCTACTCATCCCTGTTCCTTATTCCTAATTCTATTCTATTGTACTCCCATTCTCATATCCTTTCCTATTCCTTATTCTATTCTACTCCTATTCCATTCTCACATCTTTTCCTATTCCTTATTCCATTCTCTATCCCCATTCCCTACCTCATCCTTTTCCCTCTCCCCTCCCCGCCCATTCATCTTGGGAAAACCTATACCCAGAGCCACTTGGATGCATATCACGCAGTATTGAGTAGGCAAAAAAAAAATCCCTGAGGTTTTCAGACGAACGTCTGAATGGCACCGCAGCAACTAGCCACACGTCCCAAGTGGGCTGGAGAGCAGCCAAGGGCCACCATCTTACAATGAGGAGGAGAGCTGTGGCAAGCCCCTAGGCCAGTTCGGTTATTCTATAGTTCCCTCCCTAAATTTTCTCCCCTCCTGCCCTCTCTGCTCTGTGGGTTGGACCAGTCTGTCTGCCTAAAATTCACAAGGTGGACCCAAACACGGGCAGGATTTTGAACACGGAAGGCTTTCATTCCCTGCCTGCCCTTTTTGAGCCAGGTCTGTCTTAACCGAACTGCTGACTCTATAACTATTCAGAAAAGAAAAATAAATTTTCAGACTATTTGATTGGATACCCGTGCTTCGCTACCAAATTGTTGTTGCCCAGTAGGTGCCTTTGGAGCTTCCACCAGACTCCGACAGCGAGGGGCCCTCTGAGTCGGCTCTGGAGGATGTGGAGGACCCTGGACAGGGTTCCGACTCCGAGCAGGGCGCAGAGAGNTCACACTTGGCCAATAATGAATTCTATTCCATTCCATTCTATTCTAATTTTCCTATTTTAAATTCTAATCTACTCTATTCTATTCTTTCCTTATTCGATTCTATTCCATTCCATTCCGCATTCTATTCCATTCTTTCCCTATTCTATTCTATTCTTTCCTTATTCTATTCTTTCCTTATTCAATCATATTCTATTCTTTCCTTACTCTATTCTATTCCATTCTGCATTCTATTCTATTCTTTCCCTATTCTTTCCCTATTCTATTCTTTCCTTATTCTTTCGTTATTCTACTCTATTCTATTCTTTCCTTATTCTATTCTATTCTTTCCTTATTCGATTCTATTCCATTCCATACCATTCCATTCTGCATTCTATTCTATTCTTTCCCATTTCTTTCCTTATTCTATTCCATTCCATTCCAACATTAAAAGATAGGAGGCGTTTCACACGGTTTGCTGAGCCCTTCTCTTTTCCTCCAGCTTAAGAAACGGAGGCATAGAAAAGGGAGGAGGAGAGGGGGGAGCAAGAGAATGCAAAAATCAATATTTTGAAACTGCCGGGGCTGTTGCAATGTGTATGTTTTACTTTCCTGAAGGGCTCAAATGAAAGCAATTAAGCATCGGAGCCCCGCTTTAATCTCCCTGTTGGCTGTAGGGCAGGGAAGGAGGCAGGCCGGCCTTACACCATTACCTGCTTTAAATGCTAATGTTTTCCCCGTCCTCTATTCCCCTTCGTTTATCTCGCAGGAGGCCTTAAAGAGGCGCTGCCCCCTCGCACACCTTATTAGCATCACAAGGGGCAAGGGTGTCTGTGTTCGTGCGCGCAGGTGGGCGTGCATTGGGACACCTGCCTTGCCACCGTGCGGCCTTCTGCACTAAGCTGTCGGCCCCCGCCACCTCCCTTTGGTAATGAATCTGTGAATTACGCCGCGCCACTTCCTGACACCGCCAGCCTGGGCGCGTCAAAATATTGTCCTCGGCTTGTAATTCGTAGCTTAATTTAAAGGCCCCCGTTTTCCCGGCGACCTTTCCGAGACGGAAGCACGGCTGCGTATCTGGGGGCACCGGCGTGGCGAAGGCACCTCACCTCCTCCAATTATGGCCATTACCAGCCTGGCTTGAAAAGCATCTGGACCGGGATGGTTGGGAGGGAGGGGGGTTGATAGGAAATAATGGGGAGTCCATTAAGAACCAGGCCAGGGTCTCGGA